CTCTCTCTCTCTCTCTCTCTCTCATGCAGATATTTTGATATATGAAGAGATAAATATGCAAACAAAATTTATATATTCATATGTATATGAAAAGTTCTTGGTCCACCTAACTTCTCAAAATCTGAACAAATGACTAAATGTCAGATTTTATAACGGTTTCTTGTTCAGACATAAGAACTTTGCATCACCCTCTCATATTTTGCACCAATGAATATACATTCCTTTGCATATCAGGTGTGCATTAGTTAATATATAAATTTCAGTATGACTCAAAATTGTTGGTAATTTTTTTTAAATTGAATTGAATACTTTTTATTGAAAGTTAGTACATGGGATTTCCACAGATGTGCAATAGAGCATCTGGTTGTGGATATAAAGTCCTCAGTTTACAAAAATTTGTCAAATAAGGATGAGTGTGTAAACAAAATTGTAATCTTAATTCTTTCTCTATCATCAACATGGTTGACAGACCATACAAATTGGCTATTCAAGAAAGATCCTGGATTGCTAAAATGAACCTTATTTAAATAAAGAAGTTAAATCATATATGAGTCTTGTGGAGGCAAAAATAATTTTTTAAATTTATGACAACTGCATGTTATACTAATCCCTTTTCTTTTTTTCTCAGCTTCTTTTTCTAAGATTTTTGAATTACTGAATTATCTTCTCTTTTAGAGAATTTTGAATTATTATCCATTACAAGTTATACTGTAACATTTGAAGTAAACAAATTGGACCAATTTAAACATTCAATAAAAATATAATATATACTATACATTTTTTGTCTATATCTTAACCATATCAATTGTATGGTTCAGTAATTTTTGACTTCAAGTATAACTACAATGACATCAATATTGCTAGTTTTCAAAAACTCAAAAATGATCATGGAAATCAATGAAGATTAGCTGGGACATTGAATTTTTAATATATAAATCCAAATCTTTCTATATAGATATGTCTTAGTTGGCTAGTATCATAGTAGGCAGTAGTTTGAACTATAATAAATATATAAAGATAGCTACATTTGAGATGATGATTAAGTATTTTCTACTAGGTCTGTCTTATATTCTTAATACCTACAGTAGTCATTTTCTCTCTAAAAAGTAAGGGTAAATCTTAAAAATTTATTTAATCAATATGTGATTAACAAATAATAGTTGTAAGTGATTTTCTTCATATTTCAATACCTATTGATATTAACCTTAAAATATGGACAGAAATAACTGTCTTTTCCTAACAGTTGTACATGCATGCAAAATAAAATATTTGTAAAAGAATAAAATGAAACAAATGACAGGATAATGGCTATCTAGCCACACACACACACACACACACATACACACACACACATATATATATATATTATGTTTATAAGTTATTTTAATAGATATAATTTATTTAAGTAAATATTAATTATATTTGCCGGCCTAAATGCCCGAGAAATTTCGTAAAAAATATGTTTCTTTGTTGTCAAATGATGGTACCTATTGGGGGTACAGGTCCGACTCCTGTCAGAGAATCACACACACACACACACACACACACACACATAATTTATGGTTAATAGCAGGGATAGAGTGTATATGGACACTAGTGTAAAGATTTCATTCAAGCATGAAACAGACTCACCACTTGGTGTTGACCTCAGTTTTCAATTTATATATATATTTACAAGAAATAATTATGCACAGTTTAATCATATAGAAAAAGAGAAAATAATTATATTTGGATACTTGTATATATATATATATATATATATATATATATATATATATATATATATATATATATATATATATATATATATAATATATGGAAGGGAAATTATATACGTAAAGGAAAGGAAAATATATATGTAAAGGAAGGAAATTATATATAGGATGATATATGTTTTGTTAGCTGTGGAATGCCTAATGATAACTACCCAATTATTCAACACATTTTTGCATAACCATATTATATAAAGGAAACATTTGTTTAATGTAATTTTTTGCAAACAATTATTTCACTCTTTCTTAAGTCTGTTCTCACTAACAGAAATCAAATTTTTAAAATTTTCCCATAGAATCTTTTGCATTTTTAATATAATAGTAGCAACACTTTCATTGTTTTGCCAAGAAACTTGAAACTTTAACTGTCAGGACAACATCTCAATGTATATGTATATTTTTCAAACTCTGAGCATGTTTTGCTATTAATCATCATTAAAATGGCAGAAATTACTTGTTGTTATAAATATTATTCAAATAAAACAGTATAATGAAGAAATCTTTAATTCTTTGCAGTTAGTATCAATGTCTGTTAAGCCCTAACAACATTTCTGTCTGGTCTTTTTATTTCTCTCTCTCATTTATATTGCCTTTTAATAAAATCAAAAGAAGCATCAATGTGTTTATCAAGTACAAAGGGAATCAGCAAAACAGTCATTTTAATGAGATAAAAGCAAATTATATATGTAGTAATACATTGATTTCTTAGTATTTTTATGAAGAAACACTAAATGATGGCTTGTTAATAAAGATTTATCTTTTGTGTGTGAGTGTATGCATGTGTGTCTTCCTTCAGCGACTGAATATATTATATATATACTTCCTGATTAAAATAAATATATCCAATACTAATTTGCTTTAATTTGCTTGATTAGAAGAAATTATTTTTTGTGGGGTGAGGACATTTTAGAATTGCTTCATATAGATCTGGTTAAGTAAATCTTGACAAAGATTAATGACTGTTTGATGAGGAAAATCCCATCATCCGTTCTGCTGTGACCCTTTTGCAAACAATGATTTTTTTTCCTTCCTGTTCAAATATTTCTTTATGGATCAAGAAGAGCCAATGAGTCAAAGAGTCTTCTTGCTATCATTGAAACCCCTGCTCTCTTTATACTTCTATTTTCTCCAACAGTTTTTTTTTTTCCCTCTTTTTGTTTTAATGTGCATACCAGTATCTATCCAAGTTCTGACCTTTCAAAAGTAGCTTTCTGTTGGTGTTCTTGGTCATTATTGATGTGACAGGGTAGTGTCAATGTTGTCATACTGAGCCAAGCTTAAACTGTCCAAGCTTTCTGCCTGGCAGAAGTACAGACGCCTGCCTTCCTGTTTCCAGCTGCCATCAGTGACAAGAAAACATAATTATATTTGTAGCCCTTTTTGTGTGTGTGTTTCTATATATATGGATGCACACATATTTATCTATCACCTAATTATATTATAAATTCTGTCTGCTTTATCTGATGATTACTTAAGATGTGAAACTACCAGTTACCATCTCTTGAATGTATACATATTATAAGGATAAGATTTTGTTTTGATACCACAACCTACTAAAGATATTTTGACATCTCACCATTTTTCTTAACTGTTATAATTTATCAGAATTAGTAGTTTGAAATTAACAATCAAATTTTATTTTTAATTTTGTTTTATTTGTATTAATAAATATTGTTTATGAATGGTGAAAATTAAATATTCAATTTAAAAAAAAAAAATCAATGAATAATTCTATGCTGATGTTTAGAAATGTATGGATGATAAAGTGGAAACATTTGTATTTGCTACAATATTTAGGTAAATGATTGTTTACAACTTTAGAATTTATTTTTTAAATGTATTATAATTTGGGCCAATTAAGTGTGACAAATTACAAGAAAAAGATACATTTTTGATTCTGGTATAAAATCAATTGACAGTTTTCTTTAGTCACAAATGATCTTCTCTTTTGTATTAATAAACCATTATTTAATGATATTGGCATTTATTTACTTCTATTTGATACAACAAAAATAGGAGTTAAAATAATAATTTAAAAACAATCATTGCTTCTATCAGTAGATATTAATTTAGGAAGATTGATTGATAAGTTCTCCAATTCTATAAAAATAAGTTTTAGACCAAACAGCACAATGAAACTGATACAAAAAAAATGAAGAAAATTTGTCAAATAGTCACTATTTAGTTTTATAAATTTAAAAAAAAATGTTCTATCCACTTTTACTTTCCATGTGAAGAAAGTTTCTGGTTTACATTTGAGCCCAGCAATTTTAACTTCAGCATCAGATGAAATGTTGGCCTTTCAATGCCTCTTTTAATTTTGGGAATAACCAGAAGTCAAACTGAGACTGTATGGAGTTTATGCATCAACTGTGAATTTCAGCCTTCTCAATATTTGCATCATTTCTTTATTGAAATGCACCATTGCATTGTCAAAAAAGAAGTTCTTTCAGGTTTAATTTGGGAGATGCATTGTTTCACTGATCTTAAGGCTTTATTACTGTAGTACATCTATACATTTTCATTGGTGTGCAAAATTCTAAAATCAAAATACTGCTTGCTATTGTATACATAATTTTGATGTAGTACTCATGACTAACAAACTCTATTAGTCAATGCTATCACACAGCGGATACATATTAAGTATATTTGAATAGAACTTTATATACTAATGAATACATGTTCAAACATGTCTCTTTCTCCACTGTTAGTGGCACCACTCACTTATATATGATGACTTATCATATATGATGGTTGATTGATAAGTATGACAGAATTTAAAAATATTGTGAAGAACAAAACTTCTTATAATTATTTTGCAACTTCTTTACTTTTAGGTGATTGTTTAGTAATCACTAATTGAAAGTAATTTCAGACTTTTTAGCTATAAATCCACTGCACTAATCATTGATACAAATTATCAAGAATTATATCAATAATTATTTCCATTATGCAGATTGTATTTATGAACAAGAGTTTGACTGGACAAATAAACAGCTCATTGAAACTGATGTAAAATTATTTTTTATGTTTTCAGAGATTTTTAGCAGTAGACCATGTTTTGGGTACTTTTACCATTGTAGTTTTTAAATTGTTAATGGTACATTACCAAAATAAATGCTACATATTTTCTCTAATGATTTCCTACTTGAGAAAATTGGTACAAATTCTTCTCTTAAAATGATCCTAAAATTAATTGCTACAACTTTGTTTCCTCTTCTTTTTCAGACATACTTCTTTACAGATACTAATGACAGTGAACTTAATAAAAGAACAAGTGAGTACAGCTACTTTTATCAGTCTAAACTTTTTTTTTATCATTCTAACTTTTAACTGTTTACTTAGAAGATTCTCAGAGTCTTCACATATTATCACATCTCTTCCACAGCTATGATATCAAGAGATTTTAGACAAATATCTAATCATTTTTATGTAAGAACCTATTAAAATACAGTTATTGGCATATCATAACAAAAGCAGTGTCTTCTAACTGTTCAAAAATTGCTTGGTGGATTCTGATTAAACTTAAGTATAGAGAAAATATAAAAATAATACATTGTTTTTCTTTACTAGTATGGTTGTTGTTCACATTCATAATTCCTGTAACCGATTAGGTTTTTATGGGCACTACATGTACTGCAACCATAGCAACAGTAGGTGTAGCTAGGGTAAGCTAACTTGATATTGGCTATTCCTTTTCAGTTTGGATTTGAATTTAGTCATCCTACTGATAAAGTGGTTGTCATACCAAAGCTAAAGAGCCCAGTCTGCTATATTTTTTATAAGGGAGTGAGTGTTTTTCTTCTACATTAGCTGCCATCCAAAATGCCCTTCTATTTTTACCTATAATTGAAATAAGATGGATTCATGCCTTTACCAACTCCTGCTGATATGGTAACAGTTATTGCTGAAAGAATCTGTCAAGCTTTAGATAAGAATGGTGAAGGTTGCATTTTGCTTTGGACACATCTCGAAGGCATTTGACAGGGTTTGGCATACTAGTCTTCTTCACAAGTTAAATGGTTATGGTTTTTCTAGACAAATTTTTTAACTATCAAATCGCAAAATGAAAATTATCTTGAATGGCCACTCTTCTAAAACATTTTGCATGAATGCAGGTGTCTCTCAGTGTGATATACTTGGACCTACATTGTTTCTAATTTTTATAAATGACCTTCCTGATGTCATCAGTTCTCAGCTTGCTATCTATGCTGATGACACAACCATTTACTCCTGTCTTAATAGTAAGTTTGATTGGTTTGATACAGTCAAATTGGCAGCTGATCTTAAAAATGACCTACAATCTGTTGTTAAATGGGGCAAGGAGTGGCTTGTTAATTTTAACTCCTCCAAAACAAAACTGCTCTCTTTTAATCTTTTTTGCTATATATTTAGAGATTCTTGATAAAATCCAAAGAAGAATCAGCAATGTCATTGGTCCTGATCTGGCATCTCAGCTTCAGTCCCTTTCCCACTGCCATAACATAGATTCCCTGTGCCTTTTCTCTAAATACTTTCATAATAATTGTTCTGATGAACTTTCTGCTATAGTACATATACTCTATGAAATTAAGCAGAGTACTAGATTGGTGGTAAGTTCTCATCATTTTACAGTTGAAATGACTAAATGTAACCGTAAATTCTATGCTAACAATTTCTTCTATCACACTTCTTGCCTGTGGGACTTTCTTCTGACTACTTGCTTAGCAGTCAACTTTGATCTTCAAAAATTTAAATTTAATTTCAATTGTTATTTTCTATCTTCTTAATTCTCGTTCTTTTATAGTCTTCTCTCCTTCATAGAATTTTTTGCCATATTCTCTAACCCTCAGTAACCCTTGTGGCCTTGTACCTTGCTTTGGGGGTGAAATGATTAAAAAAATGAAACAGTCTTGTTCAGAATTTGAGCTCTGCATACTGATTACACTTTGTGGTGTTAATTATTACATGATATTCACATCAAGTGAATCTTCAGATGAATTCCTCGGATCAAATTTAAATGAAAAATTATTTGAAATTTCTTATCAGATACTTCTTTTTATTTTTTCTAAATTAAACAAAATAAAATCTTTTGTTTCATAAACTGTGAACACTGAAGCTTTATATCATTTATACTAAGTAAACATTGAGAATTTTGCTCTAAAACATCCTGTTAGTGAAAGGAATAAAAGTAACGTTTTGTACAACGGAAAGTTATTTTAATTGTAATTTCATTGTCTGTATCTCAAGACTTCTTTATCCCTGACATGTTTTTAAAATAACTATCACTTATGCATCAAAGATAAAAGAGGACAAAGACAATAAAAAAAAATGTAATATAGATAAAGTTAAAATAAAATGAATATTTCTTTATTTCTAGTTCCCTTTTACTTTGCTTTTTTATTTAGATTTTGTTTCATTTTTTTCTTTTGCTATTTCATTTGGCACCAAAGAGGCATGGATGGCATAACAGTCATTGGTGCAGAAAGTGAATTTAAAATAGCACATTTAATTCCTGCTCGATTTTGTTTTGTTCCCTTCATGCTAATATACTTGATAAAGGCATGAATCCATCTTCCTCCATTTATGCATTAAATAGCAGGGTAGATTGGGTTCTCTTTCCTTGAGGTGGCAGGAAAACTCTGAATTCAAAACCAACCTGAACAAGAATGGTGTCCATCAGATTATCATAACACACATACCCTTATCATTCCAATGGGTTACCAAATTCATGATGTGACAGTTATTTATCTGCATAATAATTCCATTCATTTATCGTGAATTATTTAAATGTGATTGCTAAAATGATTTAGGTACACTTTGTCGGCTATCTGCAATAGATAATCTCTTTTCTTTTTTTATATTTTATAGATAATCACATGATTAACACCAACTGTTCTGCAGTTCATAATCGGTAAGTTTTTTCTTTTGCTAAAAACATAGACACTATTTATAATTTTATAAGTTCTCCCTATACTTGTTGGTATACAATTAAATGTACATCCTTAGTAAACAATTATATAAAAAATATATAAATCTTTCTTGAAGGAGAATTGTTATATTCCGTGCTAAGGAAATAAATACTTAACACCAGGTGGATAATAGAAGAAAGGTTTATTGTACACATCAAGTACAATATGAAATACGGTACAGTTATACACACAGGTCAATCTAGTAGTGAGTGCCACTAATTGGAAGGTCGGACGTGCTTGTGTCATCTCACTCACTCCCTGTCCTTGAGTCTCTCACAGACAGTGAACTTTATAGGTACTTACTACCTATAATGTAATCATTCATGGGGGTGACTGGTTATTCCATTACATCAAGAATCAAACTTGGTAGCATCCAATTGATAATAAAATATAGTAAACATTTATTATCTCCTACATTGTTGTAAGTAAAAATCTTTGTCAGATAAATCTCTTTCAGATGATAAGTTAACTTGATTGATTAGATATTTACATGATTATTTCTTCTAACTCCACATCTGACAAAAAATGATTAAAACAAATCGGTAGTTCTCGTATAAGTCTGAGTCGTACTCAACAGATCCCAACTAGTATATTTACTAATCTCCCCATGTGATCAGATGTGGCACAAGGCCAGGTTTAATGTGGGGCATCCGAACCCATAGGCTCAGCCAAAATTCCCATAGACTGCATATAAAACAGGGTCAGGTAGCTGTTTCCTGAGATGAGACTCTACCCATCAGCATAGTGTCATCAGGGGATCCTCTCTGCTCGGAGAGAGTTTTGAAAAGATTCCAGCTAGTATATTTGCCAACCGCCCTATGCAGTTGGATGTGGCACAAGGCCGAATTTAATGAGGGGTATCCAAAAATTCCCCATAGACCTCATAAAAAACAGGGTTGGGTAAGTGTCTACCACCTCAGATGAGACTCTACCCTTCAGAATAGCCTCATCTGGGTTCCTCTCTGCCTGAAGGCAGAGAGTTTGACAGTGCAGCTGAAAAAGATTTCTTCTAGACTCTGTAGTCCATTGACTTACAGACACTTATAGGTAGTTATTACCTATAGTGTAGTCACTCATGGGAGTGACAGGTTATTCCATTACATCAAAAATAAAAGTATTTTTAAAAATCTATAAAATTATTGAAAATACATTATTACTTTAATTTCTAAAAAAAAAAGTTAATCTGTTCGATTTTCTTTTTAATTTGTTTTTTGCAATTTTATTCTTGATATGATCATCTCTTCTTATTATTCTATTTTCGTTTTATCATCTTTTTGTTTTCTATTTAATATTTCCTTACTTCCAGTTCATTCTTTCTCCATCTCCTTTTCTGTAAATCCTAACTTATTCTCAATTATTTGCCAAACTGCCAGTGTGGGAACACCATTAAACAATGAACTGATTACTGTTGTAACTGTGAAAAACAACCTTATTAACCCGTACCCCATGTAAAACTCTTAACTATATGTATATATATTATTCAAGTGATCATTTTGTATTCCTCATTGCTATTTTTTTGGTGGGGAGGGGGGTTCACACCATTGTCATTATCTTTCTTTCTCTGTTTATTTTTGAGAGATTGTGAAAACATTCTTCAAAATGTAATAAGTAATGGAAATGTCTTCGTTAGGCCAAGGAAGACATTAATTAAATTTATCAGTAGAAAATAAACAGACCATGATACAAGATATTTCAGGTTATAATTTTTTGCTAGATACATTTTTAAAACTTATTTTCAACTTTTCTTATGGTGAGGGACTATTTTTTTTCTCTTTCTTGAATCTTTATTGTTAGAAGAACTGCCTAAAACTAAACTGAATCTTTGAGGTGTTTGACTTAATGCACTTTTAGTATGTACACATTTGTCTTTCATTTTTTATTCTTGTATTACTACATTCTTTTTCTTTTGTTTGTTACTTAATCTTTTCAGTTTATTTCTTATTTTTATTCTTTCATCTTTTTTTTTACTTTTTCATCTTCACCACCCTCTTTTCTATCCCTTTTCTTTTTTGTTTCCCTTTTTTTCTACTTTATTTTTCACTTCCTTATTTTTTTAACTCCTAGTAATTTGCTCCTTTTAGAATTTCTTCCCTTTTATTTTTATCTTTTTTTTTCTTATGTTTTATTCTTGTCCCCATTTTTATAGCATTTTTTTGTAGCTTCTCACCTTTAAACCTGCTGCCATCTTGGAAATACACCTGTTAATAGGCAAGGGAAACTTTGAAAAGATCTATCTTACTTGTTGTTGATGCTTGATGATGGATAAAGGAAAAGCAATGCAAAAAAGTAAAAAGAAAAAAAATGTAAAAATGTCTTGCCTGATGAATAGTTGGTAAGAGATTAAAATGTGAATAGGAGTAACCCTACACAAAAACCTTCCTTTCCATTTTTTTTTTACTTTTATCCCTTTGACCTCCAGCAAATGATTGGACTACATAATTGTCCCTTTTGGGCTTATCTGTCACAACTATTTTAACACATTATTTTCTTCTTCTTTTTTTCTTTTTCTTCTTTTTTAACATCTATGCACCTGACAGAAGTGATTTCAAACCACCTTTATGTTAGTATTGATGACAACAGCAGCAATTTTCCCCTTATTTTAACTTTGCATGTATGTGTGTTCTCTCACTGAATTCCCCTTTCATGTCCTTTGCTTATTCTTCTCAGCTTCTGATTGGCTGAAAGATAATTTGAATTTCCCTTTCATGTCAACAACTTTATATAATTAACTGAATCATAACTAAACTGATAATATCTTCTATGTACTAAGATGATGTTAAAAATGTTTCCTTTTACTTTGTTTTACTTTCTTCTACATTATTCTGAAATTGGTTTATTATACTAATTTCTACTTTAACAGACTGCTCTTTGTGGTTTATTTATTTTTCCTTAACTTATAAACAGGATAATTATGTTTAATAATTTAAAATGTAACTACTTATTTGTTCATTTACTGTTTGATAAATGCTACATCATGTTTACTGCCTTTCATAAAGTTTAGATATTTCATTAAAGTTAAGAGAATGGAGTAGGGCAAATTTAAAACTACTTGAATTGTTTTGATCAAAGAATACAAAATAATCTCTTGAGATTGCTTAGTAGTCAAACAATGAGGCAATAAGAAATAAGATTTATTTCTTAACAGTTGGTAATTATATTTTTCCTAAAAACTTTTTGTTCAAATTATGTTAATGAAAAAACTTACAGAACTATTTTTTAACAGTGTTAAATCTTTGAATTATCTTTGAAATCTATTCAGCTCTTTACTATTTGTATGTGCAGGCATTTAAAGAATTTTTTGTGGAGTGGCAATTTTTACTTTATATTAGTGAAAATCCTGAGGGAATATAATCATTTTTAATGTTTACTCTATATGTTTGAAAAAATGTAGCAGAATCTAGGCAATGGTTCATCGAAGTTTATAATAATAGTTCAGTTGGTTGAAAGTATGTGTCAGAAATATTTGACAAAGTTTATAAAAGAAGTTTGTAGTTAAAGATAAAGAATGCACTGGAAGAACACAGAATTTGAATTTGAGGAATTGGAGGATCTTTTAAAGAAAGTGTAAAACAATCAGAAGTAAATTCAATCAAATGATTTTTATGATACATTGAAAGAGAAAAAAACTTTTCTTGAGCCAAGGAAGTTTGCTTGTTATTTTGCTGCATCACATATATTTTGCTGCATCACATATATTTTGCTGCATCACATATATTTTGCTGCATCACATATATTTTGCTGCATCACATATATGATATAGTAAATGTAAATAAAGAATGGAATGGAAAGTTCTTCCATATGTAGTGTATTTTCTGAACTTCAAAATCTTCAAAATTTATTTAATTCTTTGGTCAATGGTTGCAACAAACTCAAGATATTGGAAAATTCCTCAAAGAATTCATCAAATCAAAACTTTTATTCTTTTATGATGGAATATATGGTTTATCTGAAAAGTTGCATAAAGTTACAGGCTGAATAATGGATGAATAATGATATGAATTTCTGTGATTAAAAGAGAAACTTTTGGGTTTTATAAACTTAAAATTTCTGAATTGCAACTGGAAGTTAAAAATAAGTAGTTTTCTCATGAATAATTATGTATTATTTCTGTTACAAACATGACAGTCACAAAGGTATTTTTTAAAGTTATACATGGATAAAACAAATAAGATACAGTGTGACAGTAAATTTCAAATTTTGTCGCTAAGCATTTCCTTGTGGGTAATTATTTAGAATAAGGTTTTAAATTTAGTGATGAAAGAAGGATTCTGACAGATGTCTATTAAAATGCTGAGAGACTGAATTCCAAAGATGCCTATGCAAAAATAATTTTCTTCAAAATGTCCTTGTTCTTTAAGGTTATTGTGCAGGTGGCTAGGATATATGAGATTCTGTATTTAATACTCTACTAGTTTTGCATTTTATCATAAATTTACCTCGTTGTGAAAAAAAGATTTGAAAGAAAAGGAAAAACATTTTTATCTACTTCAGCAAAGAGAAATATGAGAGACAGCTGATGACATTAGAAAATAGTAATGATAAATAGAAAGGTTGAAAATCTCTTCTCACAAGGAAAATTGCCACATAAGGTTATTGAGTTCTCATTTAAGGGAGTACAGAGTGCTTGTTTATGTAGGTTTTTAGAGAAGATTTATAACGTATTCATTACTTATTAATATACATTTATTTGATGTTGTCCTGTATTGCCGAATAAGACATGGTCCTCATTCCAGCAAGGATCTTATATAAGTGTAGAAACTATTTGTCCTGCACTGATTCTTTTTAAGAATGATTCATACAATGTTTCTTTTCAGTATTAAAGCTCAAAGTGGAAAAGATTGCTTATAAATTCTTGTAGGATTCGAAACAAACTGTTTTTTTAAGGCTCAAGTGTTTCAGTTGATAGTTTTTGTACTGTTGTGCTTCCTTGTTTTTGACTATT